TCCACTCTGCCTGTCAAAAAATAAAAATAAAAATAAAAAATTTAAAATTAATTAGTGGTTTTAGAAACTAAAGTCTTGTCACTAGGCATGTTCATTGCTACAGAGTATCATCACATCTGTGCCCTGAGCTGATAGATGTGGTTATGTATTTCAGAGAATAAATATATATTCACAAAATATTTTTAAGAGGTTAATGGGGTCGGCGCTGTGGCGTAGCAGGTAAAGCTGCTGCCTGCAATGCCAGCATCCTATATGGGCGTCAGTTCGAGTCCTGGCTGCTCCACTTCTGATCCAGCTCTCTGCTACGGCCTGGAAAAGCAGCAGAAAATGGTGCAAGTTCTTGGGCCCCTGCACCCACGTGAGAGACCTGGAAGAAGCTCCTGGCTCCTGGCTTTGGATCGGTGCAGCTCTGGCCATTGCGGCCATCTGGGGAGTGAACCAGCGGATGGAAGATTTTCTCTCTCTCTTTTTCTCTGTGTGTGTTGTAACTCTGCCTTTCAAATAAAAAATGAATCTTTAAAAAATAAAAAAGAGGTTAACTTTAGATTAACAAATACTGACAGTTATCTAGAATCGGCTCCAAAATGATCAAAAGTGAAGAAACACTACAATCAAATGAGTCATAAATTACTTATTACAGAGGACAATAACTACATAAGGTTTAGTTTAACAATTTCAATTTTGTCTAATCCAAATTCTCCATAATAGAGAACTTCTAAAAATTCAAAATATTAGTCATAACCATATGCCAACAGATTTGAACACTAAGACAAATGACCAAATGCTTTGTTAGAAATGACTTACTAAGAAACTAAAGCAGTGGTTGAGACAGAGTAGAAACCGTGCTCATTAAATCAAATGCTTTCCAACCAGATGTGTATCTATCTCTTGACCTACATATCCACCTCCAGCTCCAAAACAACCAGGAGCAAGGAGTGTCTGGATCCTAATGGCCAAAGGCCCACTAACTGTCCTGTTGAGGACTTCTCTCAACCTGTACATGTGCTCAGAATAGTCCAATGTGACCTTTCTGGAGTGGTAGTGGTGAGCAACATTGCTACTTTTGAGTATGTTGTGTGGAGAGAAAAAAAAAAAAACCAAACACCCAAACTGCAAATACACAAAACACTGAGCTGCTTGCAAATGAAGTCTTGTGCTGAGAGCACTAGGCCAGAACTCCAGGTTGGCTGCAGACAGAAGTGTCATGTACCAAAGGTGAACTGCCAGGCTTCTCCAACCCCACAACAGCATCTGTTCAGCTCCTGTTGACAAGCCCGTCAGTAGAACCTCTTCCTTCCATGCTCCTTCCTTTGTGTTTGAACACAGTGCCAGTAAATCTTATTGGCCTCTTGTCAATTTCTACTTGCAGGTGAGCCAAATAGCCAGCAGTTGGTAATAGTTACAAATAAATAGTCACATAGGATATTCACTGGAGTTTCTGATTTATTAATGGCAGATTAGACTGACTGCACTGGACAAACTCTTCTGCAGATAGTAAATATGAGCACTGGACAAAAGTCTTAAAAGATAAACTTGAAGGCACTGAAAGCAATCAAAAGCTGGTGGAAACCAGAGGGTGCCAACTCTCAAAGGGAAAGCTCTCCACAAATTTATGTGTATGTATATATGTATATACATACATACATACATATAACTTTTCTGTGTACATGGACTGGTTGATATATGGAATCCAGAACAGACAAAACAATCTTTAAAAAGAACAAAGTTGAAGAACATAAACTACCTGATTTCAAAACTTACTAAGAAACTGTAAGACACTGTGGTATTGGCATTAGGACAAACATATCACTAATATAGAACAGAGTGCAGACAGACTCACAGCTATATAATGTTAATTGAGGGAACAAGACAATTCAAAACTGGGAAAGGCATTTAGCCTTGTGGTTAAGATGCTTGTTATGATACCTACACCTCACATCAGAGTACCTGGCTTCAATTCTTGGTTCCAGCTCCCAATTCCAGCTTCCTACTAATGCAGACCTTGTGTGGGAGCAGGTGATGGTTCAAGTAATCGGGTCCTTGCCACCCATGTGGGAGACATGGATGCAGTTCTCAGTTCCTGGCTCGGCCCCAACCTGACCCTGATCATTGCAGGCATTTGGGGAGTAAATCAGCAGATTGAGATGTCTCTCCATAAATTTTTTTCAAAAAAAATATTTTTAAAAGGTTAATTCAACAGGCAGAGTTTTCAACAAATGACTGGCACAATTGGATAAATATATTGAAAGAAAACTAAACTTGACCCACACATCACACTAAAATTGAAACAGATGACAGACCGAACTACAAAAATGAGAAGTATAAAGCATTAGCAAAATGTGAGAGAAAATGTTAATAATCTTTGGATACGTAGGCAAATATTTCTAAGACTTAGGAATATATAGAGGCAATGATAAACATGGGATTCAATTTTGTTAGATCTCACAAGTGAGATCATGCAATACCTCCTATGCCAGGCTTGCTTCACTTAATGACCTCCAGTTAGACCCAAGCTGTTGCAAATGGCAGGAATTCATCTTTTTTTTAAATGATGGAATAGTATCCCGTGTATATATACCTTTCTCTTTATCCACTCATCAGTTGGACAATGAGGTTGTTTTCATTTCTTGGTTATTGTGAATAGAACTTCAACAAACATGGAACTGTGAATGTCACTCCAATATAATGAATTCACTTCCTTTGGATATACACACGAGTGGGACTGTTCCTTTTAAGTTCTTTTGTAGTAGTATTCTTAATTATAAATGCTACGAAAATGTATCAAATTAACCCACTTTACATTTGCAGACTATTTTACATTTGCAGAAGAGTATGTGAGAAGTGAAACTCCACCATTACCTCGCAGATTTGGAAGCAGAGTATGCAATTTTTACACTAAAAATTGTAGTGTTTGGTAAAATTTCATGTGAAAGCAGTTCGAAAGATAGGGTAGGGGCCAGCGCTGTGGTGCAGCAGGTTAAAGCCCTGGCCTGAAGCACTGGCATCCCATTTGGGCTGCTCCTCTTCCAATCCAGCTCTCTGCTATGGTCTGGGAAAGCAGTAGAAGATGGCCCAAGTCCTTGGGTCCCTGCACCCACGTGGAAGAACTGGAAGAAGCTCCTGGCTCTTGGCTTTGGATCGGCTCAGCTCCGGCTGTTGCAGCCATCTAGGGAGTGAACCAGCAGATGGATGACCACTCTCTCTGTCTCTACCTCTCTCTTTCTAATCAATAAAATAAATATAAAAAAAGAGATAGGGTTAACAATAAAAATTTTCCAATCATACCTTAATCTTAACCTTTAACCAAGCAAAAGAATAACCAATGATCTGTGGGCATTAGGAAATACACTTTCTAATTTATCATTTGAAATCCCTTTATCAGTTGTCTATTGCTACACACATTATCCCAGACTTGGTAGCTTCGACAGAAACTGTCTCTTTATCTGTAGGTCAGGAGTTCATGACAGTCTCCTCAAGGCAGTTCTGGATCAGGTCCTCCAGAGGTTATGGCTGGAAGATCCACTTCCAGGGTGGCTCACTCATGTCGCTAGCAGGTAGTATTAGCAGGACAGTTTTTCTCTCCTTATGGAAGACTTCCTACATCTCCTTGCACAGGACCTTGGCTTGATCCCACAGTAAGCAATCCAAGAAACTGAGGCTCAATTTGCTATCTTATGACACAGCCTCAGAAGTCACAGTATTTCTGCAGGTTTTTTTCAAGATTTTATTAATTTGAGAGGTAGAGTTACAGAGGGAGAGACAGAAGCGTCTTCCATCTGCTGCTTCACTCCCTAAATGGCCACAACAGCCAGAGCTGGACCGATCTGAAGCTAGGAGACAGGAGCTTCTTTCGAGTCTCCCTCATGGGTCCAGGGGCCTAAGCACTTGGGCCATCTTCCACTGCTTTCCCAGGCCATAGCAGAGAGCTGGATTGGAAGAGGAGCAGCTCGAACTAGAACTGGTGCCCATATGGTATGCTGGAGCCACAGATGGATGCTTAGTCCACTACGCCATAGCTCTGGCCCCTCTGCAGTGTTTACCATTGAGACAAGTCAGCCCTGCTTCAGTGCAGGAGGCATTAAATAATGGTTGGAAGATCAGCTGATTATATAAATGACTAAGAATAATCTTTTAGAAAGCTCATTAGGGAGAGAGTAGGTTAATGACATGGTTAACAGTAGCTTCCATGTAGTGAGGTAAATGATACCAAAAGGTTTTGGTGGACCAAAGGTATAATGTATGTAGTCAGGACCACACATACAGGGCACACAAATTCAGTTGTGCCTGATGCAGGAGGCACTGCCCTCTCATGGGGCCCGCTTCTGATGGCAAGCCCCAAAGTGGAATACTGAGTCCATCTTTGGGTTCCAAACTTTGGTGACATATTTTATGCAGCTCCAGAAGGGAGGATCTGGGGCTGCTGAAATTATGGGAAACACTTCACTTAACACAGAGGAAAAACACACACTGGCACTATCTATGGAGGGAGGCGTCAGGAGGATTTACTAATTCCCTCTGAGTTCCAGTTCATAGGTGATCACCTGTATGTTCAGGAAGTAGACAGGCAGGGTTTTTACAAGAAACCCTGTACAGGAAGAAAGCCTGTAAGGATTCTCGTGCACTCTGAGATGCTTTGCTTGTGCCCTTACATCTCCTGGCTGCCCAGGTTCTTTGGCTCCCTTGAGTGTTTTTCTGTCACATACAGGTGATGCAGTGGATGGGCTGAGCTCCAGGAGCTTGGCTGTCCTTGCATTTCCTACACAGAGAAATTCAAAACATGTATCGGTCTTTTTTTTTAAGAGAGCTTTTATTTAATAAATATAAATTTCAAAGGTACAGCCTTTGGAATTATAGCGGTTCTTCCCCCCATATCTGCCCTCCCACCCCACTCCCATCCCATCTCCTACTCTCTCTCCCATCCCATTCTTCATTAACATTCATAATGTATCAGTCTTAAGAACCTGCATCTTTAAGACAAAAAAATACCCAATCACCAACAATTATGGATTCCACTGTTAGAATGTAATATTTTATTTTCTTGAGCAGGCATTTTCAGAATTCACTGCACCTACACAAAAGCAAACCACCAAACACGTGATGAAGTCAGTGGTGGAAGAGTCGGAGATTCGTATGAGCGAGGATTATTCCCAGTTCATCGCAAGCCTCAATCACAACTTTGTCAGCAGCAGAACCGGAAGGAGCAGCAATGTATGCCACACCACTCTGGGGAAACACAGGTAGAAATTTTCAAAACACAATTTCACGTAAAAGCCTGCGAAAACCAAAACCCTGCTCTGAAAAGTACAAACCCACAATGATTTGCTCAAACAAAACGGTAAACAGGATTTGAATTATCCCCACATCAGAGATAAGTCAAAGGATTCTCCAGATATTATTAATCTATTGCACATTGCCACAGCTTTTATATATTACCCACACGTAGAAGTCAGAAGCAGGATATCTGATATAGTTTCTATGTAACGCTCATTTTTATGCAAACATACCCAATTCCATGCTTACCCTTTTAGCTCTGTCTATGTTATCTCTGAAAGGAAAGAAGGCATCAGAGCTGACTGAAACCCCACTTAGTTTCTCAACCCACTCCTTCTTCTCTGCCTCATTTAACATTTCAGGAACTTCTTCAAACAGAGCCTTCCACTTCATCAAATCTTCATCCTAAGGGAGCAGCAGGTGAAGGAAGGTTAGTCTGACATCTGTGGTTTCTACCTGATGCACATCACAATGCCAGAAAGCATTTGAGCATCTTGTTCTGACACGTTCATTATTGAAAAATGGCTTCTAGTTCCATCCAAATCCATATTTTCAAAATTTCTTTGATGTGCTCTATGGTTTGGACATTAGTTTTGGTGCCCACTGAAGGTCCATGTGTTAAAGGCTTGGTTCCCAAAGCCTTGTACTAATGGCATTAACATGGTGGCAGCTTAACTCAATCAAAGCATTCAGAGGCAGGGTTTGGGCAGTGATTAAGTTGCCAAGGTGGAAGGCCCTGTTACTGAATCACAGCGGCTTTATAAGGGCTTACAGACAAATACATACACATCTTCTTGTCATGTGATGCTTTCACCCCTCCCGAGACGCTATCCAATGGGGCTGCCCAATCTTGGACTTGAATCTCCAAAACCATGAGCTAAAAGAAACTTCTTTTTGCTTTTTAAGCAGCTTGTTTCAGGTATTTTATTGTAGTAATGAAAGACCGAATAACAATGTTTTTTTGAAAACATTTTCATTAAGGAAGAAAAGGGATTCTAACTTTATGAAGTAGAGACTATATAATTTTGTTTTCCAAATCCATTTATCCTAATGTATTTTGTTCTTGAATCTCTGAAAATTACATCTACTACTTGATGTCACTGTAGCAAAGCAAGCAAATAGAAAATCACATTCTAACGGCTTTACAGGAAAAACTCCATATTCAATCTAGAAAACAGCTGATGGACATTCTAGAACTACATTTTTAAAACAACTGTAACTCAAGTATAAAGTCAGCTGCAGACAAAAGCAAAATATGATTCAGAATATTTGCTAAGGGCTGAGTGTCTACGATCCCTCTGAAACTGATGCTGAACCTTAACCTCCAGTGCACCAGCATCAAGATGAGAGGCCTTTCAGAGGTATTAGGTCACGAGACTCTGCTCTTGTGAATAGATTAGTGCCTTCTCAAAGGGCTTGAGGGGTGCGTTCGCCCCGTCTGTGCCTCCCAACATGTGAGGACAGGGCATTCATCCCCTGCAGAGGATCAGCAACAGAAGCCATTCAGCAAGTGGACAGCAGCTCTTACCAGGTACTGAGCTGGCCAGCTGTGATCATGGATTTCCCAGCCTTCAAACTGTGAGAACTAAATTACTACTTTTTATAAACTACCCAGTCTGTGGTGTTCTATTGTAGCAACACAAACAGATTAAGACCAGCATTCATATTTGAAAAGGAGTTTCCACTCTGGTGACATTTTGACGCTAACATATTTTTATTCTTGTTCACAAAGAAATACTCTCCCAGAATTATTAGGAGAGGCTTACTGGGTAATATCAAACAGAAAAGCCCAACAATGACAGTATGGGAGGTGCTTCCTGGCTGTAGCCTCCCTCTTCAATGATGCTCATGTTGATTCTTGTTCCTGCTCAGATAACTCAACACAGGCAATTTAGCTTCAGAAGAGCACCAGACGTCTCTGGTTACCACCCAGTATTCTGTTGAACTCTTGCTAGTTTGTAGGTCCAGAAACTTGGCTAAATCTTTCCTCTTGAAAAGCTACCCTATCTCTGATTTTATGCTTCCTCTTCCAAACAAAAGATAACAAAGAAGGTCAAAAGTAATGAAAACAGACTGACTTGTTCATGGCACTGGTACAAAATATGGAGAAACACCTTGGGTACCTGCCATCAGGTATCTGTGTTTAACATTGAGCACACACCTACCCAGGTGGTCAGCGTCGTGCTGGACACAGTGACAGATATCTCACGTTTTCAAGTGAAAATCTGTCATGCAAAGCTTGGGGGAAGTACAAACACAAAACAAAACCAGTGGTCATAACTTTTAAAGTGGTTTATAGATTCAGAAAGGGACAAAAAAATTAAGAAAGTTAAATCAAATAGGAAAAAATGGTGCACTGGTAAGAACTTTTAATGAACTATGATTCAGAATTTCAAGAAAAGTACCTTTTGCTCCCTGTAGAGAGAAAGACAAAATCTGTGACAAATGAAAGGGTGAACTTGTTAACCCTGGCCACCCATGACAAGCCTCTTACCTCACCAATGGTTCCCGTCACATACTGATCAATGGCATTGGAGATTTCCGCTCTCTTCACTCCCGTTTTAAACTTCATTGAAAGCACCTGTGGGTGGTGCCTAAGCCACCAATAGTTTGCCTTATCCCCTGCAAGGCGTGTACAGTGTATCCGAGACTGCTGTCCTGCTCCAATGCCAATCACCTGAGGAAGACACATGAAAATGAATGCCTCTCCCAATGACATATCCTCTCTAAAGATCTAATTTTGTGGGAAAAAACATCAGGAAAAAATAAAAGAAACATGTAAATCTTTAAATCACAAAATGCAGAGGGTAAGAGGTTTATTACGAAGTGTTTTTATGTCTGAGTGATACTTTTTTTTTTTAATTTTATTTATTTGAAAGAGTTAAAAAGAGAGATAAGGAGAGGCAGAGAGAACAAGAGTCTTCCATCTGTTGGTTCACTCCCCAACTGGCCACAATGGCCGGAGCTATGCCATCCGAAGCCAGGAGCCAGGAGCTTCTTCCAGGTCTCCCACGTGAGTGCAGGGGCCCAAGGACTTGGGCCATCTTCCACTGCCTTCCCAGGCCATAGCAGAGAGCTCGATAGGACTAGTGGAACAACTGGGACACGAACCAGCACCCACAAGGAGTGCCGGCACTGCAGGTGGCGGCCCTATCCACTACACCACAGTGCTGGGCCCCTCTTAGTGATACTTAATGTACGACTATAAATATTCTGGAAGTTTCTAAAACTCCATTAAAATTACATTATCAGGGGCTGGTGCTGTACCACCACCTGCCATTCCAGCATCCATATAGGCATTGGTTCAGGTCTCAGCTGCTCCAAATCTGATCCACCTCCTTGCTAATACATCTGGGAAAGCAGCGGAAGATGGTTCAGGTCCGTGGGCTCCTGCACCTACATGGGGAAACCCAGAAGCTCCTGGCTCCTGGTTCTGGCCTGACCCAGCCCTGGCTGTTAAGACCATTTGGAGAATGAAGCAGCAAATGGAAGATTCTCTTTCTCTCTCCCTCTCTCTTTCCCTACTTCTCTCTCTCTGTAACACTGTCTTTCAAATAAAAAATAAATAGAATCATTTTAAAAATTACATTATTGATGGTCTGAGGGAAAAAGAACTGAAAAAAAAAAAAAAAGACCGCAAAGGTAGCTGTAGTTATTTGAAAGTCTTTTTTCTAGTCTTTAACTTACAGTTAAAATATCAACTCATAGGAACTGACATAGTAAGGGGATCCTAAAAAAAAAGTATGGCCCAATTCCCCACATACACACACACAAAAAGTTCTTGTTCCCTTTCTCTAATCAAGAAGTTGAATTCTAAGCAACAATAACCTGAAGGCACTGGTGTTTTCTGGTTTTAGTGTTTGCAGTAGTAAATTTCTTGGTGGGCTGTCCAATGCACAACCCATTCTGAGCATTACTGCTGGCAACCTCACCCACAAGATGGTCCGAGAAGCCACAGACCCATGTGAACATGCTCATCCTGGACACATTTCTTTTTGCATGACCTTCCTGTGACATATCACACCCTGAGCCTAAGAAACCAGTAGCCAGCCACAACCTCCCAGGATGCTGTTACTAGAGATGGGAAATCTTAACAGTTGGCAATCACTGGAATTCTGAAAGGATTTTCCAAGTCACCTGCTAATTAATATCCACTTATGGACCAAACAGTTTAATAAGTGCCATGAGGGGCTGAAGATACACTGTAAGAAATGGCTCTCAAAGCTGCTGAAAGTACAGCAAAACCAAGTTTACCCTAGAGTTAGGAGAGGCCTTAGTGATGAATGAACTCAACTTTGTATTCTATGTCTTGATACAATAAGAAGTAAAATATCTTGCTTAACACCAAACAGTAAGAAATATTTAGTATCTCAATTGTGAAAAGTGGTTATATGATTGTATAATTTGTGAAAACTGGTCACATTATACATTTTAAAAGGGCGAATTTCACTACACAAATTATGCCTCCATGCACCTGATTTTAAAATATCAGGTTAACTACTAGCCTAGCAGTCCTTCTACTCAAAAGATTCTTGGTAACATAAGTAACATTTGTGAAAACATTGCATGCTGCAAAAACATGGACTGATGGGTGGCAGTACCATTCCTTACTTCCTCTTCATTGGAAATATTAGCAGCAGAGGAAGAAAAGAGTGAATAAAGGAATTTAGTAACAGCTATTACAGTGTTACTCCAAAACCTACAACTCATTCTAGTCAAGAGACAATGTGACTAATTTTAGTACTCGGTTCCAAAGATACTTCTTAATCATCTTAGTTTAGACAGTCTATCAAGGTGTTGCAAAAACACTGACAAACTTGGCAAATTTTCCCTTTCAAGCTGCCCAGTACCCAAGGCAGATGGATTTTTGAATGAGTTTGTAGAACAGCAGTCCCCCTGAGAGGGAGCTGACAGCTTGGTTTACCTGTCCGTTCTTGGCATAGCACACAGAGTTAGACTGAGTATACTTGACAGCGACGGTGGCTACGATGAGGTCTCTGAGGGCAGACTCCGGCAACTAAATAAACACAGAATGGTAAACTGCATCAAACTCTTTAAACTTCATTAACTTTGAGCTTCCTACCTGCTATGAATGCAACAGACCCACAATGTGGTTATAACTCTCAAATGACAGTGACATTGATTGTTCATGCTACACATGACTATTTTGTACCAAGAAGATTAAATGTATAACATATTGATGGTGGAATTTAGCATAACACCTAATGTGTCACAGACACAAGCTAATGCCATTTTGTAGCAACTTCCAATTATGCCTATGTAAATGACACAGATATAAAATATTACATACTTTTCAAAACTCATAATATATTTTCTTAACCAAAGAGCTTCTAAATATCTGGAGATGGGATAAAACTTATGTTCAGAAACAACACTAAGAATAATTTTCGTAAATGTTACAAATCACTGTGTTGCACATACATGGTCAAGTCCATTCAGGGGAAATCAAATTGGGATCATTTTCTGCTTTGTTCAGAATGCTCTACGCAGAAACCATTGGAAGATGTAATGTAAACTAACACTGCAAGTAGAACTAATGTAACAGCCCAAAGTGTCACTACATGCAGTGAATAGAAACGGAAAAGGACGCTGATTAGCATAAATATGCTATGTGGGAAAAGGGTATCAGCTGTAGCTGACTGATAGATTATTTGAAATGCAATAATTTTGACTTCATCAAAAACGAAAAAATTCTACTTTATGAAAGACCCTTGTTAACAGAATTAAGACTGGGGGAAAATATTTGCAAATCACATATGTGACAAAGAACTAGTATCAAAAACTTATTTTAAAACTCTCAAAACTCAGTAACAGCAAAAGCCCAATAATTTAACTAGAAGATGGGCAAAATATATGAGATTATGTCATGAAAGGACACACGGATGGCACTCAGCACATGAAAAAAAATCAACATCATGCGCCAGTAGGAAATGCGAGTCAGACACTGCTGCATGCCTATCCAAATGTCTTAAAGAGAACGGACAATATGAAAAGCTGGTAAGGATGCACACAAACTGAATCACTCATCCTCTGCTAGTGGAGATGAAAAATAGTAGCCACACGGGAAAATTGTGGTGGCTTCTTATAAAACTATACATGCAGCCACCACACCACAAAGCAATTAGCTCTCCTGGGCATTCACCAGAGAAATGAAGAACTAGGTTCACACAAAAACCTGCATATGAATGTACAAGGATTGAAAACTAGAGAAAGGAAGAACAGAGTCCTGGTAGTTCAAGCTACTGAGGAGGTGGAGGCAGCATGGAAGTGAACCTGGCTGTAGAAGAGCAACACCAGGAATCCTATCTTGCCTGTATCTTCATGTACACTTCAGTTTTGCAAGATTAAGGAAAATGGAGTTGAGGGTTAAAAGAGAACTCTTGAAATTCCAAGTGAATCTACAATTTTTATGTTAATATCAAAATTAAAAGTTTAACTTAAAAAAAAAAACTGCTAGAATTTATTAAGAATTTATTATTCCAAGGTGTTATTAATGTAGTATCTGCTTCTTCTGTTGTTTGAGTCACCAACTATACATCTGACTACCTTGATTCCAAGAAAGATTAGTAACAAAAGTCAGCTTCCTCAACATCTACCTTCAAACACAACTCTGGTGGTCTGAGTTAGGATTAAGAAATATGAGAAATGCCAGGATGGGAATCCAGGCCTGTCAGCACACCTCAAACAGTTAACACAAGGCAGAAATAATTCAAACACCTTTGTATCAAAACACTTCTCCCACCTGTCTCAGGACAGAGAGGGTCCCAGAACTAACAGTACAATCTAATGACTTTGAGGCTGGAATATTAATGAAACCTGGTTTAAAAGAAGGGGGGTTAAGATAAAGGCAAATCTAACTATTATTCTTTTTTTGTTTTGTTTTGTTTTTTTGACAGGTAGAGTGGACAGTGAGAGAGAGAGAGAGACAGAGAGAAAGGTCTTCCTTTGCCGTTGGTTCACCCTCCAATGGCCACCGCGGCTGGCGTGCTGCCGGCGCACCGCGCTGATCCGAAGCCAGGAGCCAGGTGCTTCTCCTAGTCTCCCATGGGGTGCAGGGCCCAAGCACTTGGGCCATCCTCCACTGCCTTCCCAGGCCACAGCAGAGAGCTGGCCTGGAAGAGGGGCAACCGGGACAGAATCCGGTGCCCCGACCAGGACTAGAACCTGGTGTGCCGGCACCGCACGGCGGAGGATTAGCCTACTGAGCCACGGCACCGGCCGCTAACTATTATTCTTATCCTTAAGTTTCAACTTTCTACCAAGAAAACATATGAAATGGGGCTGGTGTTGTGTTGCCAGTAAAGCCGCCACCCACAACACTGGCACCCCACACTGGCGCTGGTTTGAGTCAAGTTACTCCACTTCTGATCCAGCTCCCTGCGAACAGCCCAAGAAAAGCAGCAGAAGACGATCCAAGTGATTGGGGCCTTGACACCCAGTTGAGAGACAAGGATGAAGTTTCTGGCTCCCAACGTTGGCCTGGCCCACCCCTGGCCTTTGTGGCTATACCAGCATGTGGAAGATATTCTCTCTCTCACCCACCACCCCCAACCTCCTAATTCTTTCAAATAAATAAATCTTAAAAAAAAAGGACAGAAAACATGAAACAAGGAGAGACAATTTTAGATAAAAGATTGAGAATTTTAAAAAATACACTGATCAACCAGTTTAATAAAGTGATAAAATTTTACTGAGAGGTGCTTAAAGAGAAACTGATGCAAAAAACTGCTTGAACATGGAAATCCCAGTACGTCACTATTTCTACATATAATCCTACATGTTTCTTTACTTCAAGGCACCATTAATTTTCAAAGATTAAAAATGGAAGAATAACCATTAAATCAACCATCAAATGAAAAGATGTCTTAATCACCATATACTTATTAGCAGAATTACCCCAATAAAGATTTTAAAGGTTATTTTCAGCAATTCCTCAAGCCACTGGAGCCAGACTTGGGAACAAATTGCAATTCCTCATCTTCTACTTCTCTCACATGAATGGCTTAAAAGATCAATCAATTCTCTTCCAGGAACAAACAGAAAACCTGGCACAGAGCTAATAAGACAGGAAATACTGACAGGCAAAGATCCCAGAGATAAAGCAAGCAGGAGGAAATGGACCTGACAATCTAAGCTTTTCCCCTGAAGGCATGTTCCAAGTTGGATGCAGTAAATGGAGGTAAAGAAGCAAGCAAAGCACAGCTTTTGGAAGCCTAACAGGACACTAAGGGACAAAAATGGAGTTCCAAGTACGTCAAAGAGGAACACTAGTCAACTCCAGGGCTTCAGTAGAGTAGGGATGAATCTTAAACAGAGAGCTCTCACAAAGGAGGCTAAAATGCCAGTCAGCTCAATTCCCATCATGATGGAGATGATCAGCTTCACAGTATCTGCCCACAGAAGCATAAATCAACTCGCAAGGAAAACGAACAGCTGGGGCCAGCGCTGTGCTGCAGTGGGTTAATGCCCTGGCCTGAAGCACCGGCATCCCATATGAGCACCGATTCGAGACCGGGCTGCTCCACTTCCGATCCAGCTCTCTGCTATGGCCTGGGAAAGCAATAGAAGATGGCCCAAATCTTTGGGCACATGCACCCACATGGGAGACCCGGAAGAAGCTCCTGGCTTCAGATCAGCACAGCTCTGGCTGTTGCGGCCAACTGGGGAGTGAACCATCGGATGGAAGACCTCTCTCTTTGCCTCTCCTCTCTCTGTGTAACTCTTTCAAATAAATAAATCTTAAAAAAAAAAAAAAAAGAAAAAAAAGAAAAGAAAATGAACAGCATCCAGACCCTCAAAGTATCTCTGTTGTTTTTCCATATACCTCATGTGCAGCATCCAATCAAAAACTCCAGGCATACAGGCACACAATCCAAAAACAATGGAGTGATACCTCTAAAGTATCAGAAAAAAATGTACAGCCAACTTTAGATTCAGTGAAAAAAACCTTCAAAAGGCCTATTTCAGACAACAACAAATACCAGCTCATCTATTTTCTTATGGTGTGAATTGGGAAAATTTCCCAACTGTCCCCTGTGTCACAGTTTTATGATATTAACAATAGAAATGACTACTTTCAATAGTGTGCCTTGCACATTAAATGAGATGATATGAAAATCCAACAGTCATTATTATTGCCCTAGGATGACGAGTACAAGCAGAAAAACTTGCCCACACAACAACACTGATCATAGACTGAAAACAGAAACAACCTGAATACCCATCATTGTATACCAACACACATGGTGCCATATGGCCTTCCCAACAGATGTGTGGATCTATATTTATTGTTACAGAAACACATCTGTAGGCTCGTGGATAAACAGGCAAGTCACAACCAGAACACAACCAGAGAAGAAATGATCACATTTTTGCATAATGGAAGAATATCTCTACCTGCGCACACATGTGCGCCTTAATAAATGTATACACTCATAAACATTGAAAACAGACCTACTAAAGTCATTAACGTTCAGTTTAGATATTGTCAACTTACATCTTTATTCTTGGTAACAACATTGCTGAATAACAACTTGTCAATGACTCCATTATTTCTCTTCTGACTTAAACGAAGACCAAAGAGAGTTCGAACCTCATTTTCATCCGGTTTATAAGACTGATCCATCTAAGATACAAATTTAAAAAGTTAAAAATTAACTTACCCACAGCATTTGAAATTTTTATTTATCTACAAAATGTTTTATTATAAGAAATATTACATGCATTCTTTTAAGTTAAACCTGTGTAAGATCTTTTTTATATGACACAACAGCCAAGCCCCACTATTTTGTTCCAAATTTATAGATATTACAACCCTGCAGCATTTTACAGAATTTACAATTTATGTATAACATTAAAGCCAACTGATTCCAATGAGTGTATCTTTGTTTGCATTAATTAAAACTTTCTGTACATGTAATCCTTTTGGTTAGCAGATAAAACAGGTTTGCTGATAAGCAGACTGTGGCACAAAAATTAAATTTTTATTTTCCCTTTTTTAAAAATCCATTACAGAAATACCAAGCTAACATCTGAATTTAAAATTGAATGAAGGAAAACAAGATTTGTAGTCTGTGTCTTTGCTGTTTAGAAAAGAATTTATGGGATCAGCCCTGTGGCGCAGAGGGTTAAGTCTCCACCCACCATGCTGGAATCCCATATGGGCACTGGTTTGAAGCCCAACTGCTCCACTTTGTACACAGATCCCTGCTAATGTATCTGGAAAAGTAGTGGAAGATGGCCCAAGTGCTTGGGCCCCTGCACCCACATGGGACACCCAAGTGAAGCTTCTATCTCCTGAGTTCAGCCTGACCCAGCTCTGGTCATTGTAGCCATTTGGGGAATTAACCTTGGATGGAATCAATCAATCTCTCTCTTTCTCTCTTTTTGCTTCTCCTTCTCTCTGTAACTCAGCCTTTCAAATAAATAAATAAATCTCAAAAAAAAAGTACATCATTTTCTGCTATCTTCCAGTTTCAAATATTGAACTAAAAAATATTAGGAAGTGAGGAATAATATGAGGGTACATCAGAAAGTTTGTGGAAAATTCACTGAAAAGGTAAGTTTACTGTGGTGAAAAAAAAATTTGAAATCCATGCTTAGTTTGTTCACAATAGGCATTTTCCAGGGACTTTATGAAGACCCTTCAGATGCGTAAGACTACTTTCCCCTATTTTTCTAAACATAATATTTCCTCATTTATCATTTAGGTGAGCTGCAACTTAAAACACTTTGATATCTATAATTTATAAACCAGTGCCCATAAGTAGTTCTGTTTAATCTACATCTTCTTGAATTCTAAATGTTCTCTGGTACTATGCATTATAAAATACCTAAAATCACTCTGCCCTCCTATTGACTGATGTCAAAAGAAGCTTGTCATTAGTAAGGAGGGAAAATGAGTGGTTTCAAGGTTGCAATCATGTCCATGTGCAAACTAAGCCAAACTGTCAAATAAATACTGATGAAGCCCTGGGAATGCTTTCGTAGCCTGCAACATGCTACTGCTGTGTGTTGAAGAGTACAAAATGGTGAGCTCTGGTTTTGAAAAACATTTTCTGTGATGCTACCTAACAGCTACAATGAGTACCTAACACTCTGCTCAACAAAGACACTTGATTAAGAAACTGAAAAACACTGGCAGCTAACTACATGGGTATGCTTGCTCTCAAGTAGCTTTTAAAAAAGACTATGTATATTTAATGTGGTATTTTCCTCTTTCCATGAAAAGCTGACATGCAATCTATGGTAAATTATACACTTACTGGTCTATTACAATCATAAGGAATGTATATTTAATAACTTCCATTATATGGAATTGGGAGTCCAGATTTTCTGACATCAATACCAAATGAGAAACAGCATTATGAATTTTTACTTTCAAACCAGCTAACTCTTTGCTTTCTTAATGCATGATCTCAATGTAAGCTAGTTTCCCTAATACGAAGGAGCGCCTAGAAATCCTTAGGGAATGGCAATGTGGCACAGGGGTTGAGCCACTGAATGACGTCCCATGTCAGCATGCCATGTCAGTTCAAGTTTTGGCTGTTCCACTTCTGATCCAGCTTCCTATTAAACTCCTAGGGAGGCAGTGGGAGATGTCCCAAGTACTTGGGTCCTAACACCCGTGTGGCAGACTCACATGGAATTCCTAGTTCCTGACTTGCCCCTGGCCCAGACCTGGCTGTTTGCGGGCATATGGGAAATAAGTCAGAGGATGAAAGATCTCTCTCTCTCACTGTTGCTCCTCTCAAATAAATAAATCTTTTAAAAAAATCAATAAGGAAAAAAATTCAACAATCTAGTAGAAAAATACTCAAAGACTAGGGACAGAGTATATAAAGGCAGTAAAAATATGCAGTGTATGAAAAGATGGTTGCCCTACAGAAGACTAGATGTTAAAACTGGTGAGATGCCACTTTCATCTATCTAAAGATGAAAAATTGAGAATGCAATGCTGGCAAAGGTGTAAGGAAACAGACACCCTTACACAATGCTATCAGGATGTTAAGTTTTTTGTACAACCTCTAGGAAGGGCAGTATCTATCAAAACTACCAATACACAGTCCTAATTCTACTCCTAGGACTTTTCTAGATGATTCCTGGCAGCACTGTATATTGACAGATAGACAGATAGATAGATAGGTAGTACCTAGACTGCGACTGACTACGTAGGTTAAGATACACAGATATGGGAGAATCTTCCACAGCGGTAAGTTTGGTGCATCCACGTCATTTGCAAGATGGACAAAGAAATACAAATATTTACTGAACTTACAGAGACTATCTCAAGACAGAGAAGTAAAAAATGTAAAGTAATAGTCACTTTTGAAAAAAGACAACAATGGCAGAAAGGAAAAGTGAGGAGATTTTCCATTAAATAACACTTACTTTGAATAATTCAGGAAACTATCTTTAAAGTTTTCAAAGTTAAGGGGAAAAAAGGAATCTTCATCTTAAATTCTCAAATTAATAGTATAAAAAGGCAGTATTAAGGATCTAAAAATTGCAGTAAAGAAGAATAAATTTAGGAGAGCTTGCATAAAGGGAAGATTAAACATGGGGAAAAAAGAGACACAAAATAAAGGAACAAATTAATGCTTCAGACATGAATTGTACCAACCTGAAGAACACAGTAGTTCCCATTTTTCTTTTTAGAAAGTATTTTCAAGGCTTCTTCTTCATATCCTGGGGCAACAATGCCATCAGACACCTACAAATATGTTAAATGTTAATTTCTATTTTTAAAAATGGAAGAACAGCTGAAAAATCTAGCAATAATCATCTGTCTTAAATAACACAGCAGCATTTCCTGGTTTCTCCCTCTAACAGGTAATACTAACATTGCACTTGGAAAAAATAATTCTACATCAGAATGCAGTATTTTTCACCTTACACCATCTCTTCTGCTGTCCTCACAAAGTCTGTGTATGTTTCAAATTGATCACATAGAGTCCACTACTCTAATGTATGTACCTCAAGAAGAAAAACTCCTGCTCCCTATCCTCTCAGCAGGGTGGTATTCTGCACTACAAAGGGCAGGTTCTAGTTCTGCTACTGCCAGCACCTGGGAATGTTCCCCAACAGCAAAACTAAGAGACTAGATTAAATCAAAGCATTATCATCTTACACGATAGCTACAAATGCCATAGCCTTGCTATGATCACCAACAATGCATGTCAGGTCCACTGTGGATGGGATGCACCATCATGGAAAGAATCCCTCAAGTATTAAATTCTGTTGAGCTCCATGTCCCTTCGGCCTTACTACCTACTTTTTCCCCTCCAAGCTTTTCTTCTTTTCTTTCTGTCTCCTTACCACCTCTCTGGAATGCTTGCTTACATGGTATTCAACTGAAGAGGGTTAGTTTATCAAAGAAGTTTTCCTTTTTTCCCACTATACAGTCTCTTTCCTTACAGACCTAGAAATGTTTATAGAAAGATTCATTGTCACAGCACCAAGGCAGCAACCTCTGCTCTTTGGAAACAGTGACTTTTTATTAAGGTAACAATTGCTCAAAAACTTAGAAGTTCAAGGAAAAATGGAATTTAAAAAAAGTGTGAATTCTCTACAAACTTTTTGAATCCCCTTCATATTATGTTATTCTAGCAGTCAAATAAATATTCATTTGAAACTGTCACTAAGTCTCAAAATTAGTAGTAATTCAAGATTAATGTTCTATATAAAATGTGAATATTCTAAATGAGAAACAACTAATTTACAGATGTTACAAATACACATATCAGGTTTATTCAATTATGTATGAATCATGACACATAAAAGTTCACTAACCTCTCTGGAGATAATTTTTGCGGTTGGGACATCACAAATATCAGACAATGCAACAAAATCACCAAAAGAAGACATCCTATCAGCCCCTGTAAATGAAAATTAAAACAAAGTAATAATTACCTTTCTGTACAAAAAATGTTTTAAAAATCTACATGATCATGTCAAATCCATTCCTCTAAAGCTATCTTTATTGATTCATATAAAATTGAGATAACAGGTCATAAGTCATTTAACTAATCAGCAACAAAGCACTGTTTAGTTTCACCTTACAGAGGGGCCTTCAGCAAACTGTTTCTGCGAAGGACCAGATAGTACATATTTTTTTCTTTTTTTTTTAAGATATATTTACTTATTTCAGAGGCAGAATTACAGAGAGGGACAGAAAGAAAGCCCTCCCATCCACTGGTTCACACCCCAAATGGCTGCAGTGGTTGGAGCCAGGCCAATCTGAAGCCAGGATCCAGCTTTCTCAGGGTCTCCCAAGCAGGTACAGGGGCCCAAGCATTTGAGCCATCTTCTATTGCTTTCCCACGCCATAAGCTAACAGCTGGATCAGAACTGGAGCAGCTGGGACACAAACTGGTGCCCATATGGAATGCTGGCCCCACAGGCAGAGGTTTAACTTGCTATGCCACAGTGCCAGCCACAAGTATGTATTTCTTAAGCCCTGCAGCCACACAGCTTCTAATCCATCTATTCAATTCTGCATATGTGGTTCAAAATCACCCACTGATGATATATAAACAAGGTATGTGACCTTCTTCCAATCAAAGCATATTTACAAACATATGTGGCAGGCTGGGTTCAGCCTAAGGGTCATGTTTTGCTGATACCTCTCTCAAGGTCCTATATTAAATAGACATTTAATATATTCTATAATTAAATAACATTATTTAATATTAATATTCAGAATTAACATTCACTTATTAAACCTTGGTATACTAATCATAAATAAAAGTATGATACAAATTGGCTATATTTATATCAAAATTAATTTATATAACTCAAATTTAGTATTTAGTTTATATTAAATGATATGTGGGGTCATATATTATACAATATGCATTTAACATATTATATAATTATAGAATTGTATAACATTGTTTAATATTATACAATATGTAGGAGTCATACATTAAACAGTACAAATGCCCTCAACAGCTTAATCTAAAATGACATACATCAAACTGTGTTTCCTTTTATTACATTGAAATAGTAACATACACTTTTATAAACATATATATTCTGAGACCTATTCATATAATCCTTCTCAAATATTCATTAACAACAAACTAATTTGAAATTTTATAATGAAACAATGAAGATTCATGTTTTCTTTTTTTCTAGATAAAATACTGTTTTTTCTTCCCCCAAAACAAAAACCCCCTTAGTCTGACCTCTTGCTCTTGCATATGCAATTGATATGGGTGTGAGGGTCTGATAGAGATCATGGACCATGCAGACTTTGGCCTCGTCTTCACTCAGTGGAATTCCCACTGCGGCACCTGGTTGGTATAGAACAACATGAAATAAACAACAAATCAAAAATCTCAAGTTACCTTCTTCTGTCAACTCCTACATGAAGGCAACACATATTTTTTTAGCATCTAGACTATGCAACATATTTTCTTGTGCCTGTACCAAACTAAAATCCATCTAGCCAGCTCATTAAAACAGCAAAAGTAAGGTGAAGGGGAGGAAGCACAGGACTCTCCTTCTGTGCTCTGAACACAGCCGCTGAGCCTGACAGTCTCTGGCATGTGGAAGAAGCTGGCTCATTTCACTACAGCTCACTTTCCCACCTGACTTCACATATCCTTTATTTCTTCTCTGCCCACACTGCTATAATATCCAATAAATATTGAGAACTAATTATGTATTTGGCTGTCAGCAAATCTAGTGGTACAGATCAAGATGTACAACTAAAGATTAAACATAGAGGCCAGAAGGTATCACATAATGGCTATAAAAAGTTACAGGTAAATGTCATAAAAACAGGCCGGTGCCGCGGCTCACTAGGCTAATCCTCCGCCTAGCGGCGCCGGCACACCAGGTTCTAGTCCCGGTTGGGGCGCCGGATTCTGTCCCGGTTGCCCCTCTTCCAGGCCAGCCCTCTGCTGTGGCCCGGGAGTGCAGTGGAGGATGGCCCAGGTGCTTGGGCCCTGCACCCCATGGGAGACCAGGAAAAGCACCTGGCTCCTGGCTCCTGCCATCGGATCAGCTCGGTGCGCCGGCCGCAGCGTGCCGGCCGCGGCGGCCATTGGAGGGTGAACCAATGGCAAAGGAAGACCTTTCTCTCTGTCTCTCTCTCTCACTGTCCACTCTGCCTGTCAAAAAATAAAAAAAAAATTTAAAAAAATGTCATAAAAACAACTTTTATGTCTACTTGCTTACATTTTCAAACATGAAAAAATATTCATTTGCATCAAGTCATTTCACCTTTTGTTTACTAAACTTTCATGTTTCTACTGCAACAAAACAAAACAAACAAAAAAACCAAACCTACTGCCTGGGTCATCCAACTCAGGTTTGTGTTACTATGCTATCAGGTTTTATCGTATTACCAAATACTGGTACCATTATCAGTGGATTCCACAAAAGTGGTTTTGAACGTCACAGAATGTTTATATTCAAATTAGAACTTATCAATATCCAAAATTTAAAAAGAAATTAATTTGGAATAGTTCTAGAGCTTTCTAGAGCACCTTACCTGCTGGGCTGACATGTTTGAAAGAGGCTGCGGCTGGAATGTCTAAAGCATCTTTGAGTTCCTTCACCAGCTGCCAGGCATTCAAAGCATCACACAAGTTTATGAACCCAGGCGCTCCATTGAGAACTACATAAAGAAACAATTACACGCATTACCAAGCAAGGGTGGTAGGTCAGATAATGGACATTCCTTCCAAAAGCCATATATTAAGACTCCATAGATGTCTTAAGTGCCATTAAGAGGCACACAGACATACACAAACATGTAACAACATGACAATAAAGGAGAAGTCAATCAGCTGAGCCTGGACTCATGTTAAAAAATTGCACATGTGCAAGAACACACACGTGTGCACGCACACACACACAAACACACAAATATGTATGTACACATCTGACTGGAGGGCCCAATGTAGCTGGTGTAGAAGGAAATCGTAAAGAGATTGAGGAATGAGAGGAACCACAACAAACCAAATGATAAGTCAGGAATCTCTAAATTCAGAATGAGGATTGAATCACTGGGGTCATTTTAGAGACCTTATAACATTTAAATTTAAACCCTGTCAATTTGAGCTAAAGCAAGAATTGTGGCTAAGAAGAAAGGAGAGAAAAAAGCGTGAGTTGGTTTCTCCTTTTACAGCAGACTCAATCGGCTCTGTCTACATTTGGATCACAGTTGTAAGAACACTTAGTTTTTTTTATGTTTGGCAAGATGTATTAGGAATATTATTTCCTGTGAATAAACAAGGAATTCCACACACACATGAAATAATGACCTACCACTAACTGAAAGCAAAAAGTTTAGAGTTCTATTTTCTTGTGTATCTTGGAAGACAGATATTTTATAGATATTTACTAAGTATCTACTACAGTATTAGGTGCTGATTTAAGTACTCAGGGTACATCAAAAACTAAATAGCACCTCTTATCCCCTCAAAGACAACACTGTGCTCATGGAGTTGATGGGGAAGGCAAAGAAGAAACAAAATGGGCAGTAAACAGTAAACAACAAATGAAAATAACCAGCGCTTATAAAGCAGTTGAGAACTTAGGTTCATATGAAAACTTGTATACAAATTATAGCAGTTTTGTTCTGAACTGTTAAAAGCTGTCCTTCAAGTTTTGACATCCTCCAACAGGCCAATGGACAAACAAACCATGGCCTACCACACAATGAAACACAATTCAGCAGTAAAAGGAAATGAGTTACCAAGTCATAACAACATGGGGGAACTTTAAATGCATGCTACTAAGTCAAAATGCCTGAAAAGGCCCCATACCATAGAATTCCAACTATGTGACTTTCAACCAGGGGCCAACCTATGAAAGGATCACTGGTGGCAGGGAGCTGGATAGGGGGAAAGGAAGGGATGAGCTGGTGCAGACAGGAGAATTGCCGGCCAGTGAAACCATCCTGTACAGTATTGTAATGACAGACATATGACCTTAACGCATTTCTCTAAATGCTTGGAAGAGACCACACACAGGATGATATCTAAACCATGGCCTGTGCAAGAAGTTAACAGGGGAATGACTGGGAACAGATACTGGAATTCTTTAATTTCTATTCAATGTTTTCTGAACATCTAAAACTGCTCTAAAGAGTCTATTTAAAATAATATTTTAAAAAAGGTTACAAAAAAGGAAACTAGGGTCCTCATGGAACTTATGGGAGAGGCCAAGAAGAAATAAGCCATGTAATCAATAGTAAACAAAAGGAAAATATCCTATAAGGCACAAAACATGAGAAAGAAAATGAGACACCATGTACACACTCCCTCCCCCATCTCCTGCACTTGTAGAAAAGTTAATCAGCTGTGATGGATAAGAGGAAATTTTGGTTTCTGAAACACCTGAAAAAAGAAGAATATCAGATTTTCTTCAAGGATCAAATTTTCAAAGGAACCAGTAGCTGGTTATAAATAATAAAAATGGCTACAGAAAGATGTTTAAGTTGTTTACTACATAGTTGAAATAGGAATCTTTTTCTTTGTTTCTAATCACAAGAAAAAGTCATTAAGATCTCATACACATTCTCATACAACTTTGTGTTTCAATCTTTTTTTCTAAGACACACAAACAAGCACACAATTTGTAAAACACTGCTGCCAAATATTCAAATCATCTAAAAAGACAAAGCACCCTTTTGCTGTGAAAATAAGTACATGTTTGGAAGAAACCGTAAAAACTTTTTACAAGAAGTCACTATTCTTGTTCCCAGGGCCTCCTACTCTATATTTACCACAATCTTTTGTCAAAAGAATGAAACACACACCCACTCTGGGTAGTATGAATAAAAATGCTTTTTACAATGAGAAGTACAGGAACTGAAAGTACATGGGAATACATGTATGTTTTGCACTTAAAATGTCTAAGATAAACATACACATCTATTTCAAGAAGTCCTAGAACACCAGAGTTAAACTGTACCCTGTATCATCTGTCCCTAACAAACACAGACAGAACATTCCACCTAACAGCTGCACAGTACACATTCTTCTCAACAGCACATGGAACGCTCACCATGATAGATGATATGATGCGGTAAGCCACAAAGCAAGTCTCAGCAAATTTTAAAAAAATAAAGATCACATTGAGTGTCTTTTCTGACCACAACATAGTAAAACTAGAAATCAATAATAAGAAAAACTTTGGAATCTACAGAGTCCCAAACAACTTAGTAGTCCTGAACAACCAATAAATTACAGAAAAAATTAAAAATAAAATTTAAAAGTTTCTTGAAATAAATGAAAAGAGAAATACACATACCAAAACCTGTGGACTACAGCAAAAGCAAGACTAACAGGAAAGTTTATAGTAATGATTATGTCTAAAAAGCAAGCAGAAAGATCTCAAATAGATACTTTACCATTATACCATAGGGAATGAGAAAAACAAGTACAAATCCCACTCAAAGTTAGTAAAAGGAAAGACTCAGAGCAAAAATAAATAGAAACTAAAGAATCTATAAAAAATAAGTCAATGAAATGAAGATGTGGTTCTCTGAAAAGATAAACTTGACAAACCCTTTTAGCTGACTATGGAAAAAAAGGGAAATTTAAATAAATAAAAACAGATGAAAGAGAAACATTAAAACTGACACCATAGAAATAAAAAGAATTATTAGACTATTATTAATTTTTACACAGTAACAATTTAGATAACCTAAAAGAAATGAATAAATTTCTGAACACTTACACCTTACCAAAATTGAACCAAGAGGAAACAGAACACCTAAACAGACCAAAATACACCAATAATGAACAGTGAGATTGAATCAGTAATAAAGTCTCCAAACAAAGAAAAGCCCAGTCTACCAAACAGTTAAAGAAGAATTAACAGCCATTCTTCTTAAATTATTTCAAAAAAAAAAAAAAAATTCTCCCAAACTTAGAGGCTAGCATTACCTTGATATCAAAACCATACAAAGATACACACCAGCAAAGCTACATGGCAATATCCTTGATGAATAATGTACAGATCCTCAGCAAAAGCACAGCAAACAATCCAACAGCACTTTAAAAAGCTTATTCACCATGATAAAGTGGCATTTATCCCACGATATGTAAATCAACAGATATGATACACTATATCAACACAACAGATAAAAATCAAACAATCATCTCAACAAATACAGAAAAGTCATGTGATAAAATACAGCAGACATTCATAATAAAACACTACCAAAAATTAGGCATAGAAGCAACATTATCTTAATAAAAATCATATGTAAGAAACCAACAGCTAATATCATAGTGAACAAGAAAAAGCTGAAGGCTTTCTTTCTGAGATCTAGAACAAGACAAGAATTTTCACTTTGACCACTTTTATTCAACATGACCCTGGAAATCCTAGCCAGAGCAATTAGATAAAGTTAGAAAAAATTAGACAAAATTAGAAAGTTGTCACTGTTCACATATGACATGTTCTTATATATAGAAAACTCCAAAGACTCCAGCAAAACACTTAGAATTTGGAGAAGTTGCAAGACAGAAAGTCAATGTTCAAAAATCAACAATGGTGCTACACATTAGTGGCAAATTACGTAAAAAAAGAAATCAGATAATGGACGGAGCCAAGATGGAGGAATAGTGAGGGCATGCACCAATAGTCCAGGAAAAGATAGTTTAATAAAAGTGGAGTTACTGTAGTCTCAACAAAAGGCTCAGGAAAAAATTGCAGAGGAAACTCTTCCGGATCAAGTGGATGTGACATGGAGGACCTATGGGGAGAGCAAGGTTGCCCACCGCGTGGAAGCCCAGCCGCAGAGTCTGTGCGCCAACACTGGAAGGGGAGGTGAGACAAAAACCTCGGTAACCCGAGACATTGGCAGGGAAAGGCAGAAAGAGCCTAGAGGGAACGAGGCTTGAAGCCCCGCTGGGAAAGTTCACCAGGCTGATTGGAGGAGAAAAAAAACGAATAAATAAGGGGAACCAGCATGGACACCAGCCTCTCTCTCCACTCACCTTACAAAGCTGAGCAAGACAAAAAGCAGGTGCCATTTTGGACACGCGTAAAGCGGCGCCCGCCTTCAGCCAAGCAGAAAAACCTGACTCTGGTGGGGAGAAATAACAGGAGGTTAGGACCTAGTGAAAGTATAGAGCTAACCAACTGAGACTGTGAAAATCTGAGGGGGGGCGGGGCAAGAGAACTCACCAAGTACACAAACTCGTTAACCTTGGCAACCCGGTAAGAGACTGCAGAGAAATTTGAGAACACCCTGAGGGCTGCATAAACTCTTTGTGTGGTCCCAGGGGTAGAGCAGATGAATACCCACAGGGGCCAGATTTCATACATCAACTACCCTCAATTTGACAATTACTTCCCAACTGAGTCAAAAAAAAAAAAAAGAGAGAGAGAGAGAGAGAGAGAGAGAATCGAATGAGTGAGAGAACAATCTGGGAGTTTCACCTTTGGCACACCCTGAATCCTGAAGAACCAAACAGAGCTCTCTGGCCACACCCATCACAGCCTCTAAGGATCCATCAAAAGCAGTCCACTTAATCTAGAGTAACAGTATAACGAGAAAAATAACCACAGCAAAGAAACCAAAGAATATCTCCACAATGCCAAACAACAAACGCAGCAACTGAGGTAACAAGAACAAGGAAGACACTATGATGCCCC